ACGCCGCCGCCATCATTCCCCGCCTGGGCTTTGCCCCGCGAAGCTCCCGCGGCGGCAAGGAGAGGGGTGGCGGCGATGGCTTGAAGCCCTAGATCAGATCGGGTGGAAGGACATCGGAAGGGAGGGGGTCAAAAGAAAAAGGGAACAAAAGCTCTCACATCGACAAAGCTCAAAGCAGGCGGGTGTGGAGTTTTACTCTACGGAGACTAATTGCGAGCACACACACTCGCCGTCGCCAAACTATGTTTCTTCACTAGACTAGAAAAACAAAAGTTGCACTTGCTTATTTGAGAGGTCATCGCGTGAACCCTCCACTCTATCCTTTGCTGCTAACCCGGCGCCGTCACCTCCGCGTCGTCTCTGGATCTGGATGCAGCTCGCCGCTCACCGTCACTTCGCCCGCATCTTCCGCGCTACGCACGCGAGAGAGAGAAGGGGGAGGGACGGCATTCAATCTGTTAGTCCGATTACAACATGTCAGTTCAGTAGTGAGTGTCTACGACGCCCTAACAGTGCAAGCACACTAGTACATGATTTACACACAGCTGAAGCTATCACACACTTCCCAATACTAGTACGTAATCTCTACCGGCTACATCTGCTAAGCTACTCCAATGCGACTACTTCCTCCCTCCTCGCCTCGACGACGAGGAGGACCTCTCCGACCTGTTCACCTTGGCCCTCTTTGCCGGCGGCGGGGTCGCCGGAGCAGCGCCCCGTTTCTGTGGCCGCCCGACGCTTTTCTTCGTCGCGGCAGCCTTGCCTCCTGCCTTGGAGCCACCGCGGCCGGTGTTCTTCCTGCCTGGCCCCTTCCTGGCCTTGGGCTGCTCCTCCTCCTCCTCCTCCGGCGCCGGCGCCGACCGCTTCCGTTTCGTGAGCGGCGACCCTCTCTTCTTCGGGGGCGACGACTTGCCCTGGTTCAGCCGCTTCAGGAAGTCCACGGCGATCCGCTTCTTGGGCAGCCCACCGGCGGCCGCCCCGTCGGAGTCCCCGTTCTCCTTCTTCTCAGCCGCCGCCGCAGCCGCTTCCTCCGCAGCTGCCGCCGCCTTCTTGCGGCTCAGAGCGGAGTTCTTGCCGGGGCCGCGGGTCTTCTTCGTCCCCGTCCCCCACGCCTTGCCCTTGGCCGCCGCGGCCAGGGCAGCCTTCTTCTCGCCGTCGCTCTCCGCCTCCTCCTCAACGTCCCGCTTCTCCACGGCCTCCTCCTTCCTCGCGACGGCCGCCGCGGCGGCAGCCTTGGCGATGGAGCTCCTCTTGCGGCAGAAGATGAGCGGCTTGGCAGCCTTCTGGATCAGCGGCCCGACGATGTCGGGCTCGGCCTTCCGCGAGTCGAGCCCCGCCGCCGGCGCCGGCGGAGGATTAGCGCCGCTCGGCGGCTCCCGCTTGGCCGGGGGCTCGCGGAGCGAGGCGGAGACCTGCGCGGAGACGAGGTGGAGGGCGTTGAGCGCGGCGGCGGCGTGGTCGGGCGCGTGGCGCGGGAGGTAGACGGCGGCGTTGGCGCAGAGCAGCAGCAGGTCGCGGTAGAGCTCGGCGCTGCTGGCGTAGCCCGCCGCGCCGTCCAGCTTCCGGCGCATGGCCTCCAGGTCCACGTGCCGCCTGATCGTGCCCCGGTACGACTCGCTCTCCTGCACAGCAGACCAAACCAAAGCGGACCCACCAGCACGTGAACAAACAGCGGGAAAAAATTAAAAAAAACATCATAAACGAAAACGTAGAAAAGGAAAAAAATATCTCCGCAGCATCTCGAGTCCTCGATCGAGTGCTGTTGAGGCGGCATGCACCCAGGGACGGCGGCCGCCCATGTGGTGGTGACCGCAACGCGGCACCCGACTGGCCCGTGCGACAAGGAATCGAATCGCCGGATGGGATCATCATCCGTCCATCCAGCCCGCAGAAAGCAGCGGCTGCTTTTCTCTCCTCTCTTCCGCGGGAGACACGAGCTCGAACGAAATGGCTTGAACGGCAAAGAATTTCTCCCGCATCATCACCCAACCCTTTCAGCCAGCAATGGTCCATACCACAGCAACAAACATGGGTGCCGAGGCGTGCGTGCGTGCACCGCGATGACGCGCTGGCTTTGCTCCGGTCACGTAGATCGGGCCGGCCGGCCGGTCAGTGCTCCTAATCGCAGGCCATCATGCCGCGTGCGTGCGTGCGCGCCAGCCTAACCATATCCGTATGGCCGTATCATGAGGCGGACACCTAGATTAAGCGCGCGAGGGTGGGACCCAGAATCTGACATGCTTCGTGCGCTTTGGTTTTCACCGTGTACGTCTACGTCCTCCCCTCGTTTTTACCCCTAGTGATAGTAAACCGAAAGTTTTGACATGGCAGGTAGTGGCCGACGGTGAAGAGAAGAGAAGGGAAGGGACAGGACGGGCAGGGCAGGGCCGGGGCGGTAACTCTGATGGAGATTTTTACCTGGCTCTCCTGTAGCTGCTCGAACACGGGGCCGAACCTGGCGGCGACCCTGTCGAGCAGGGCGGCCAGCGGCTCGTCGGCCTCCTCCTCGGCGCTCGCCTTCCGCCGCCGGCACTGCAGGCTCACCGCGCTCTCCTTGGACTCGCCCGACAGCTCCTCCTTGGCCGCCTCCTCCGCCTTGGCGGCGGCGCCGGGGCGCTTCAGATCTGTGGAGTTGGACTCCCTGCACGACCGCCCGGGCTCCTCGCTGGACACGTTCTCGTCGCCGGTCACGCCCTCCGGCTTCGCCTCGCCGCTCGACAGGCTCCGCTCCCGCTCCTCCTTCATCAGCTCCACCTTGCTCTGCAACGTCCTGTCACACAAGTAAAATATAACAAAAATAAACATCGTGCTCTGGAAAAATGGCGGCCGCAGGATTCGCCATCGGACGGGCCACGAGGCGCGCGGTGAATGGTTTTCCTTCAATTCAAACGGTGGTTTTATCGGTTCGGATATAGTACTATAATCGTTTTACCCGATGGAGAGATCGCATCGCTCGACCTCGCGCCGGAGCTCGGCGACGCGGAGGCGCCGGAGCTCGTCCAGCCACCCGTCGGCGGCGGAGGCCTCGGCCTCAGGGGCGACCTCCCCCTCCTCCTCTTCCTCCGCCTCCGCCCCGCCGGCGGCGGAGAAGCGTCGGTGGAGCTGGTGGAAGCGGAGGCGGCAGCTGCCGGGCGTGAGGCGGGGGCGGGCGGCCAGCGGGCTGCGCGCCTGCACCTCCGTGGCCACCGAGTCCCAGCTGGCCGTGCCGTGCCGGCACACGGCGAACGCCAGCAGCAGCTCCTCCAGCGTGCCCCAGATCTCGCCGCCGGCCGGCACGTCGGGGCCGTCTGATCCGCCCGCCATGCGCCGCCCCAGCCCTCCCCGTGCCGTGCCGTGCTCTCTCCGCCGGTAGTGGTGGTGCCGTCTCAGGCTGGTAGGTTCCCTCCCCCTCGCCCTCCTCCGTCAATTTTTTTCCCGTCGAACGTCAGCCTTTTCCTTTTCCTCCTCGTCCCTCCCTCGCCTCCGATTTGATTTTTATCGGAAGGACGGATACGGCCCAGAGTTCATAGCCGCGCGCGCAGGCAATTTCTCCGTTTCTCAGGGGCGTTTTCGCCATTTGGGCAAATAGAAAAGAGGTGGGTGGAGCACTGGAGCCGTAGAGGGAGGGCCATTTTCAAACCGGGGCCCACCGCGGGCCAATTCCTGCGTGATGCCCATACTGCCCCCCTGATCACTGATCGGCCACGCCACCACCGTTAGCCTGACGTGCGAAAGCGCGCAAGGTTACAAGACACAATTGAACTGTTGCGGCGCGTCACTGAGCTAAACTGCCTAAAAATTCAGCGTCATGGCTAGATCCAAAGCAGTGTCTGACCCATCGGAACGCCTGATGCTCAGAGTACACACTGCAAACTTCCAGAGTATGGAAATGATTTGAATCTGGCAAGCGGGCGGTGTCTATCTGGTTCGCTGACTGACAGGTGGGGCCTGACTGGGATGCAACCTCCTGTTTTTACTGCAAATGAATCTACGAGTGCGTATCTACCGTCAATCTTTGTTCTGGATGAAAGAGTGAAGAAGTTTTTTTTTCAAGTAGTGAGTTCAGGGTTCTGGTACACCCAAGTTTTAAACCAACTGTTCCTAAAATAAAAGGTTTTGAATTAGACGCCCATGCCAGACCAATATTTGCATCTATTTTGTACTCCCTCCGTCCCAAAATTCTTGTCTTAGATTTGTCCAAATACAGATGTATGAAGTCACGTTTTAGTATTAGGTACATCCGTATCTAGACAAATCCAAGACAAGAATTTCGGGACGGAGGAGGAACCTTCGTTACTGGAGGAACTCTTTGGATGCCAGATGCAAAGGTTAGCTTCAGATTTTTACCAGCAAGCAGACCAAGGCGACAGGAGCATCGACTCCTTAAATACTGCACGTATGTAATGAGTACTGTACTGAACATCACACAAAGAAGCATCTTACTGTGTTGATTGAAGACTGTTACATATTCTACCTTCTACTCCCTCCGAGGACCATTCCTTATGTAATTAAAAGGTTATTCACGGAATTTAATATGTGCGGAGTCAGATCATTCATTTTCCCTGTTCTCGCTTTCAGGGTCCATGATTCCTGCACTTTCTGGGGCAAATGCAAAAGTTGGCCCCAGATTTTAACTGCAACTAGGCACACTTGCACATAGATACCACACCAAGATTACCAAAATGCCTCCACTTGCACAAAGCAATCATAGCAACCAGGCTTACCAAAATGCCTCCAGAATAGCATCTGGCCAACAGAAGAATTTTGAACATAACAACAGAAGTTGAAACTTCTACTACTAACAGGAAATTGCAAAGACGAATACGCAGGTTTATACATAATGACATATCCTAACGCGACGACCGACATGGAAAACATGGAAAATTACTGAATCACCTTATGAGAATGTCGTTTGCTTCCACTCAATGATGCAAACTGCCTACCAACCTATATTATTAAGCACAAAATATATGTAAAATTGCAGAGCTTGCAATGTCAGCAAGCACTAACGCGGTAATGCCTCACTTCCTCCGGGCCTCGAGTGCCTTCTTCAGCTCCTCGCTGGCATCATTCGGTCCACTGGCCACCAGCTCCTTCCCATTTCCATGGAGATCAGGCTTCACAGGGAAAGGATTTTGCAGAGGTGGCGACGTTGCCGGCATCCTTCGAGCGTCGCCCTTGCTGGGAACTGAGATAGCTCGGCTGGCCCCGATCTCAGCGCGCAGGCCCTCCACAGTGTGCCGCAGCATGATGCTCTCATCGTTCAGGGCCTCCAGCTGCCTCTTCATCAATGAGAATTCCTCTCCCTGGGCTATAGGCGCGCTCTTCCCCTTCTTGTCCTCTTCAGACTTCGGATGCCGGCGTGGTGTGTGCTCAATTGTGATCTTGTTCATGACGAGCAGCGGCAGCTTGCTGACGGCCAAGCTCCCCGCCTTCCGCCCGTATCCATCGTCAGCGAGCGCGGCCTTCAGCTCTGGTGGCACACGCAGCCCCCACTGGAACCTCAGGCTCGCCCTGTTCCACAGCGGCAGCATGCTCCTGGTCGTGAGGCGCATCCCGGACAGCAGCATGCCCACCCCTCCGCCGGTGGTCCCGGCGGCCGTGACGTCCGCCGCGAACCCGTTCCCGTTGAGGGAGAACTCCTTGTGGCCCTCATGGTCGTGGGCGTCGCCGTTGGTGAGGTCGGCCAGCTTGTGGGGCGGCGGCAGCGCGGGGGTGTCGGGGACGGGCGGGGAGCGGACGGAGTTGGCGAGGGAGAAGTCGCCGAGCCGGGGCTTGAAGAGGAGCGAGAAGGCGGGCGGGTTGGAGGAGAGGAGGTTGAACTCCGCGGAGAGCGCGAGGGGGGCGCGGACGGGGGAGCCGAGCGCGCCGAGGCCCGTGCGGATGGAGAGCGCGAAGGGCTGGAGCGGGTCGTTGGGGCGGTAGGAGAGGCGGAGCCCCGGGCCGGTGGGGAAGGCGGTGGAGAGGTCGAAGCGGAGGTCCTCGGCATCGCCGCCGGCCGAGACGCCGGAGAGGAACGGCAGCCCGAGCACGCCGATGGGCACCTTGGCGCGCAGCAGCGGCCGGTCGTCGTCGCGGAACTTGATGGAGGCCTTCATAGTGAGGGAGGGGGTGGCTAGGGTTAGGGTTCGGGGGGGCCGGGATGCGGGGATCTCCGCGATTCGGGGATGGGGAGGGAAAGGTCGCGGTGGACGGGGAGGTATTTGAACGGCGGGGGCCCGAGGGGAATCGGGGGCGGGGATCACGCCATTTCGGGTGCCGGAAGGGGAGTCGTCGGCGGCGGCGGTCGCGGCTGGTCTTAATTGGGGAGAGGACCGGAGGAGGATGAATGGAATTGAAACAAAATGGGTGGAGGCGGAACAGGATTGGGTTGGAGCTGGGACGGGCCGTTATTTTCTCTCCGTTTTACTCACCCACACGTTTTTACCGCTGATTTCGTCGAATTTTCCCTTTCCTTTCTCACTCATGTAAATCGGTGGAGCGAGTACTTTTTTTTGATTTTGCGATAAATGTACCAGATCAGTACCGCTCAGCATGGTTTGAATGTGTAACTGATCGTCCTCCTCGATGTCCTTGGATCCAACCTTCTGGGATGCGATTTACCTCACATTAACTAGCTCTGACTGACCCGGACGGTTCTTGTTGATACATTATGGTCATGATGAATTATTTGAATATAAAAAAACTTGCAGGGGAAAGATTATGCTTTAGGCCTGTTTGGGACTGCTTGCCTCCTTAAAATTCAGCTCCGCTTTAGAAAATGCAAGTCAAACGAGGTAGCTTCAAAATATGTCATGAAGATCTTGGTACATATGGAATGAGATTGTTCATGATAAGGTACCTCCACCCATTGATGTATCTCAACGGTTCTTTTGCACTTACTTCAGCATGCTCATGATGATTGATCGACATCCAGAAGAAGATGTGTTAAAAAAAAGAAGGATGTTTTATCATATGTGCATGGTTGTCCGCCACAAAGAATCTCCACAAGAGAGTTATTGTCGATGCACAAGTCCGATGAAAGCCTCCTTTGGATGGTTGGCCAAAGTTTAATGTAGACGTCTCATTTGTTCTCGCTGATGGACTTGAAGGAGCGCGTATGGTTTTGAGGGTCGCCATGTTGGGGGAGTGGGGGGTACCTTTAGCTCGTGTTAGTACTTATGCATTTGCTCAACCGCACTTGAGTCATAAATTGCAACGTGTCTTGAAAGTTTATCCTTGGCCGTACAATGGTGCACCACTTTGATTTTGATTAAAGCAGATTGTCTGAAATTAGTTAACACTAGTACAAAACAGGGCTTTCGTTCGGGTCTGGCCAGCCCATTAGTCCCGGTTCTTCACGAACCGGGACCCATGGGGGCGATT